CCCCAAAACCCCAAAACCCCAAAACCCCTAAATAAAGTGAGTAATTGTATAAATAATTAAAACGGGTGTTTAACATTAGGAGCATGAGGACTGAACTTTGTAAGTTATATGCCTCCCTGTGGTTACAACTCTGTTTCTTCTTTCCAGAATTTTAAGAAGCAGATGGCCTATACTGATTCTGGGATCTGGAGGGATTTAAGGGCAGGCTGAGGGTGGTCATTAGGTGTTTGGGAAGGAGGTCATTGGTGTTTAGATAGAGGGTTAAGAGCAATTGATGTCTTTGGACATCCAGTTAAGATGACTATGAGAGGAAATCAGAGGTAAGGCAATTAATGGTTTGAGGGATTTTTTGGAATTTGGAATTTTGTGGGTTAAATCTTGGGAGGTTTTTATACAACCAAGATTTGTTTTATGATTGATGAACGTCTGCTTAAGATAATTCTTTTTAGCACAACCTGGTTTTTCTCCAGTTTTCTCATCATTATCCATTTCTGTACCTCTAATTTGCTTTATATATAGCCTTCCGAATATCCTTGCCAGAATAGTAATCTTGATCTTATTAGGTTTGTGAATCTTATTCACAGTCCTAATGCTAATTGAACCGGTAAAATTCTTTGTTTAAAATTATTTGAAAAGCAAAAAGACCTATTGGGAATACTCGTTGCTTACATTCTCCAAAAATATAGGTTGAAGATGTAGTGACTAACACTGTTACTAAATAAAACTTATGCTTGCAATACAAGAAGGCATCTCTCCACTTCTGGAGTTAATGATGTTAACGATGGACAAGAATTTTTGATTGAAGGTAATAAAAAGTCTTATAGTAGACCTTCAGTATGAAAGAGTCAATATTTCAGAAACAGAAGTAAAGAACAAACCAATGGAAAATGATAATTATTGGTATCTATATCCTTTTTCAAATTACTTCAATGTTGCATTCAGGGTTAGAGACAAACCCGTGGGTAATAATCAATATCCATTCTTTTCTGTACTGTTCACTGATTTACAAGAAAACAAGATTCAGCATTTTGGGTAAGTTTAAAGCAATAAACTTATTTAGAACTGTGCCTTGCACAAATAATATGTTTCACCCAGATCTCCAGGCAGAGGCAGGAGCAATGAATATATCCAACTATTTGTGTAAGATTAACCCTCATTAAAATATTTGAAAATATTAAGAGGGATGATCATTAATAGGAATCCACGAGCCTGGGGATATCTACCTGAGAGGTAATATGTATCATGAGCAGCTAGCCAATTTTTATAGTAAACATCAATAATTAATATATAGTTTTACTAAGAGATTGATTGGGATCATCCTGAATTGACAATCGTAAGATTTTATTTTCATCAGTGCAAGTCTAATCTTGAATACAGCAACTTACTACGATGGAGCCATTGTTGATTTGGTATATACTCAAGGATACTACTCGAGATTTGGAAATCCTCCTGCAAAATTTAGATTTATACAAGAGCAGATATACATTGAAAAACACCAAAAAATTGACAAGTCATTTAATGTTAGATGGAATGTGATTGGAAGCATTCATAATATCTCAAGAAATCAAACTTTTTACAGCTTAACGTCCAAGGAAGAATATTACAGAACTTCTGATAGTGGACAGAGAGTTGAGATTAGGTTTGAACTCGATTCTAAATATCGGTCATATGGAGAAGAGGAGGTTACCAAAATGTCAAATTCCTGTAAGTTACAGTTAACATTTTAGTCAGTAGAAATTTGGAAACCATTTTTGATGAAGAATCAAATACAAAAACTAGCAAGAAAAAGATGAATGTTATCTATGAGATCTTCTATATCATCTCAAATATTGGAGGCTTAATAAACATTCTTTTCTTGGGTTTCAGTATAATTACAAAAGGAATTTTTGATAGATATTTTACATTTCAAGCTTTGAACCTGAGCTTTGATTCAATTCAAAAGGTATGCTATCTTCTAACTATTTAAGGCAAAAACTAAAGAACCTAAAAAGCAAAGTGCAAAGCAACCTATTCAGCAAGAAGGTCCTGTTATACAAGACCAAGATGAGATAGATCCTACTCCTGAAGGAAGAGAACCTAACTCTGAGGTAAGTATAGACTGTAGAATATATCTTGAAATCTCCAGGGACAGCTAAATAATGGAGGGCTAGGAATTGGAGGATTTGCCCAAATTCTAGCTCAGATGGAAGGACCCCAGCAAAATATTCCAAAAGAGGACGAACAACAGACTCCACTTTCCAGGTCTAGAGAAAAGAAGTCAAGTAAAGTACATCCAGAATTAAGCAAAAGTAGGCAAAATTAAAATTTGAAGACTCATTTTTAGGCAATGCAAAGCCATATTCTTCAAAAGAAAGAATCAGATATAAGTAATTTAAGATAAATCTTTAGAATCCAGGACTTTTGGTACAGTTTCAGATGCTGCAAGAAGAAGTCTAAAGATAGATTCTTGTGGACTAGATTCCTGAACTTTCAGCTTTACCAACAGATTTTGAAGAAGGACAGGGATATAGTCAAGATTCTTTCCAAGCTTGAGATCTTTGAAATGAGAATTGCTAAAGCAGAGACTAAACTTAATACTTTAATACATGATATTGTTGTCAATGAGGTAACCAAAATTTATTCCTTTGTCATAAAATTTAGGAAGAAAAGAGGATCAGCCCAATTACAGAGCAGTCAAAGGAGATTATTTTAAAGAAGCAAGAGCTAGAAGAGGTTAAGAAGATGAGTAAAGTTCCGAACTAATCTATAGTCGAACAAGAGAGACTATCCATTATGGGTGCAAGCAAAGTGCAATCCAACATTAATGAGGACGAAGAATTTTTGGCAGTAAAAATTCTGTAACCCTGAGCACCCATAAAATAAACCCTAGTAATGAATATTAGTGTTGTTCGATTGGAGTTAGGGGTTTTGGGGTTTTGGGGTTTTGGGGTTTTGGGGTTTTGGGG